TGACAGTGAAGAGTTAATAGAATTCTGTTATATTGTCATTGCCTGGGGAAGGCTGCTTTGCTGTTTTTTGTAATACATGTGCATTAGGTCAAGCTCAGTACAGTTTAACCACACTTTCCTAGTGAGGCTGCTGCAGTGCTATGAATAACCATCAACTTCCTCAAGCTTCTTGAACTCCCTGTCGCAGGAATATCCAGTGCTGTAAACTGCTTGCTCTAAATCCATATTTAATTTAATATTTAGAATGTCAGAGAATGTTCTGTTCTAACCTGTTTCCTAAAGAGCCTAAAGCTCTGCCTGGTAACAAAGGATGTAATCAGCTCAGTAACTTATTTTGATCATGGAATATAAACTGGGGAACGTACCACTGTAACACTGAGCTGCACTTTCCTTTTCACTGGTGCTGTTCCTGTATGCATACATAATAAAGCTCACCGCTCTCATTTAAACCAGGACCTGAGTATAAGACTTTTATTTTAACAATTTTTGCGTCACTGACAGGATTCCCAAAGGCCGAAGGACCCTCAATGATGGGAGAGACGGTCTGAAACAGCACCTTTATTAGAGGTAAGGACTCCTCATTTCTAACAAAAGTCCTGAAGTCTCTCGTCTGCTGTTAGGAGGAACTAGACACTCTCGAGGAATTGTGAGTATTTGAGAGCAAGAGAAGGGAAGCAGTCGACCGGGTATTTCAAGAGGGTTATCCCCAGGTGGGGCATCTGAGATGAGATAAGAAATAAAGGATGTCCCGGTAGCGGTAAACCCAACGGGTTGAGTTGGTGTGAAGTTCGGTTGCGATAAACCCAACAGGTGAAGTGTTGGCAAACCTTAAGTGAGGCAACAAGCTCTTCTGTGGTCCATGTCTTTTTTATGCTAAAAAGGCATGTACAGTATGTGGAATAATCCTACATACAGTAATTTAAATAATTTAAACACTTGCAAGAGCAATGAATAATACCTAGAAATTATACCAGTAGTGATGGAATGTGTAGCAGGGTTATGAAGTATATTTTGGGCATAGGGTCTTAAGAAGCCCCTACTCTCTATGACTCTGTCTCTTTAAAAAAATAAACTGTAGTTTTCCCTTTCTGGTAGGCAATGCAAAAGACTGCATTTTCCAGGGAGGCAAGTGAGAGTTCATTAGACAGGAAATGAACAACAGCTGTCAGAGGTTTACCTCTCTGGGTTTAAAAAGGTGTGGCTGACACAGGAAGCCTGTCTTTGGTTTGAAAGGATTTTGAAGATTGTTGAGTACTGTTTTTTCCTAGATTTGTGGGGTTTTTAGAAGAATTTAGAAAAACAATACTATGAAGTTAAAGTGCTTGTAAGTTTTGGACGTGTAGGTAGGGCTCCAAAGAGGGAGTTACTGTAGACTTCTGTTTGGGTTTTTTATTAGAAAGGCTGGCCAGAGTTTTTCTCTGGTCTTATACTGTGGATGCAGCATCAGGACCCTAGCTGGTTGTGACCAAACCTCCCCCCACTCCCCAGAGTGTCACAAAACATACAGTACCATTGAGAGAGTAGAGGGGAGTTTATTTGCTACATGAACATGCACATTTGTATTTGTATTTGGGCTCTTCTCTTGGGTCATGTACAGTACAATAGGTGTGGATGGTGTGGATCTCATCAATCGATGATAAGTCCGATCCTATAATTCTCTGTGCCATTGCCACAACCCTTTGTAGAGTGACTTTGTCTTTTCTGGTAGTATTGCCATATCACACATTGATTCACTGACTTAGGATGCTTTCTGTGATGCTGAGGTAGAACGTCACAAGTAGCTGCTTCCCCTTACTGCATTTCTTTAGGCACTTCAGAAAGTGGAGGCGCTTTCAGACCAAGTGAAGGGGGTGGAGTTCTGCAGTTGGAGGAATCTGAAGTAACTGACAGTTTTCACTCTTGAGCTCTCAATACTGATTGGGGGCATGACTTCCTCTGGGTCTCCTGAAGTCCAAAATTAGTTATTTTGTCTTGTTGACATTCAACATGTCAAAGGCAGAGTGGCCAATCAAGTGGTGCGAGGTCGAGAGAGGTGAGGCGAGGTGTGAAACTGGGTTTTCTTTTCTACAGATTTGTAAAACAACTGACCATTTGCTGGATTGTGTAAAGGGGTATCAGACCTCAGTTTGCATGAATCAAGGCAGAAAAGGCTGAGACAAGAACATTCAGATGACCAAACATAGAACTGGCTTAAGGTCAAGAGTGTGGAGAAATTTTATATTCATTTTGTTTCTGACTCATCGAATCCAAAAAGATTCAGATTTACATAATTTACAGGAAATAAGATTTTAAGACTTACAGAACTACAGAGGCAGACACAATCACCACTAACAATATAAAACTCTGGAAGCATCCTAATCTTTATGGCAGTAATTCATTCTATGCAAAATTGTGATAAACTCAGATGATCTACAAGGAAAAGGAGCAATTAAAAGTCTTTTTCTTTGAAGTTAAAAACACCCTCATGCAATGCTCAGGCTGGCAAATGTTTGTCAGTTTTAGCAATAATGACGAATGAGAGGTTGCTGGACAAATGGACTTCTGTTTTCTATAGAAATGTCGCAAGAAAATTCTTACTACGTTCTTGTATGTTATTTTTTTCTTATGTATACACCCGTTGCATGCCTCAGTGAAACAGTCATGGCATGTACTGCTTCTTAACAGTTTATTAATCCAAAGATCTTATCCAGCCAGCTCTTCAAAAGTTTGGTAGAATTTACTTCAACAAAATGGCCCTACAGGTTCTCAGCCACCCACCACCTTTTGTGTTAGAAGTGCTTCTTCAACTCACATCACTGCCATAATCTGAAGAACAACATCATCACTGCAGGAGATGCTGGAGGTCTCCCCGATACAGACTTTCATGAGGGGTGGGTGAAGTGTGATCACACTTAATATCTTGCTTATCATGTGGATATAATTATATTCTTGTTAATAAATACACAAGAATATTAAATGTATACAGGACTATTCTTATGTTTCTATAAAATATATTTATAGAATGAATCACCCTCAGCAGGAGAGAACCTGCTAATGGTAGCCTGTGGTGCACCCACACAGCTAATGAACTGATGGGCTGCAAACTGGATCGATCTATAAGCAGCATTAATTGAAATAATAGATTTTTGTTAGAATCTATTTGACTATAGTCATCTTATCCTCGACCCCTATTCTCCATCTTTGCAGGATAAATGCAAGGGTTGCAGAATGGAGATAATTTTTAGGAAAGAATAGTTTGAAAGCACTGGTAACAAAAGGCACATTGTTCTGTCTTTCTGATAAACAGCCCATCTTTGAAATATACTGGGAAAAAGTGTTACACTACACACCTGTGTTCCCTGGCTGTGATTACAGAAATGTGGCTCAAGCCCTGAACTGTTTCAACCTGCACCTACAGTACTTAAAATACACTTTCACTTTCAACCCTTAACTTTCATTCTTATATCCATAACAATACATCCCACAATACATATATTTTATTTTACCACTAAAACAGACCCCTCAGGATGGCCACAGGCAATGAGCTGTTAGTACACAATAGAGTAAAAAGCCAGGTGAGAATATGGTACAACTGAACTGCACTGCAAAACAATACTGTGAGACCCACTTACAACACTGCTCTTCTCAAGTTGTCATGTAAAGATAATAAAATGTTTCCAATAGTAAAGAATATAAGAATAAGAATTCCAATATTTCCTTTAAAGAATTTTCTCAAAGACTCAGAAAGATCAAGTATTCAGCGACTGATTTCAGCTGAGATTGTCTTATCAGTCGTGCTCAGTAATTTCAATCAACACAATGAAAATAAAACACAGGCAAATCTAAAAATATAGTGAGCTGAACTAAAAAACTAAAATGGGGAAAGAAGGAGACTTCTCCTTTAATCAAGGAGATGCTGGTAACATGAAAAAGGGAGAGAGCTCTCTGCTCATGTGCCTCTTCTGCATCTTAGTTCTATGCCAGGCTCTTCTCTCTGGAAATTGGTCTAACAAGCTCACCTGCTACCCGTTCAACCTTTCACATGCCTCTTCAGCATGACAAGGGAATCAGCTGAGACTGACACTTTGTTTTATATCCAATACCAGCTCCTCAAAATACATTTCCTGCTGTAAACCAAATAATTTTTTTACAAGTTGATGATAATGATGATTTGAGAGCTTCTCTACTTCATCCTGTGCATGTGCAGGTATCAGGGAAATGCAGATGCATCTGCTTTGAGGTGTCTCTCAGTTTGATTGCTTCCAATAGCTTTTATCTGTTTGTTTATTTTAGGCACATCACCAAATTTTGCAGACTGTAAAATGCATTACGAAGAAGTAATTAAAACAATTGCTTAATGCTTGGCCATCACTGGAACTGGCTCAGTCTACTTGATGATGCACCAGCTGAATTAATTCTGTACTTCACAGATATATATTTTTTCTGTTTATGTAAGAGAAAATGCTTCAATACTTATTTGGCAGTGATTTACCATGCAGTAAGACAATGACCCAAATTAAAGAGCTTATCAGGAGAAAAAAGTGGAAATTCTTAGACCAATTCAGAATTAAATCCACTTGAGTATGATTTTAAATGTTGAATGTATGTAAAGTGAATGTGTCCTGATACGTATAGTCACTTGAATTCAATGGGTTGATTTCAAACTGGGTTTGATACCTTCAACGCAAAGTATATATTTTGTTTTAATCTGATCAAATCTGCACATACATTTGAATAACCCACAAATACATAGTATTCGCTTTAATCTCATTATTGCAAATTAGACTAAAGTCAAATAAAAGTGTGACTATATAGCAAAAATACATTTTTATTTTACTGTTCCAAATACTTTTTTAGGGCACTGTACTTACATAACACCTGAAACCATCCTTTAAAGTATGCCTTAACACAAAACAACACAGCTGTTCCTGTCCCACATTTAAATTTTATGTTCAGGCTTTCATGGGTTAAAAATGTTTCTGTTTTATGAATATAACTGTAAACATGCATGCGGTCAGTACCTGTCTGAGAGTGTGGTGGTGTGCCATCAACACTCGGACCATCTCCGGCAGGGCAATAGGCACCTTCATGAGCCTGTCAGAGAAGGCTGCCAGGATCTGCTGTGAGCGTTCTTCCCACTCTGTGCTGCCCAGATAGTGAGATAGTCTCAGCAGGTTAGAGGCTGACACTGAGTTCGGATTGGGCTCTGCTCCATCTTGATCTAGAAAAGACAACAGACAGAAAGGGGACATGTCAATACCAGCCCTGGACAGCAGAAGTACTGTGCTTATTGACTGAAAGATTAATACTTTGGACACTCAAAGGCAGAGCTGTCATTGACGATACTCTTACTGACAGTCTGATTAGAGGGGGTCAGTTTTTACATGACCTACAGTACCATAATCAAGATGTTCTCTTTTGTTTCTGCATCCTGGAAAGTAGGGGATCCAGTCCTCGGCTGGAGATAGCTATCACTGACACTGGAAATGTCATAAATCTGTCAAAATGAGGATCAAGCATTGATTCTGAAATTTGACTCCCTCTGTTGGGCAAAGACCAAATTGTCAGACTACTCCCATAGGTTACTGCCAGGAGGTACACATCCCAGAGTGCATCCCTTTACTTTCACCCTGTACCATGTACTACATGATTTAACTGCTAAAGCAATGCTGAATTGCATGGGTGGATACTGTAGTAAATTTCTGAAAAATTAGGGAATAAGTAAGCATAACTTCTCATTCACTAACCTGTAATAAACAATTTATAAAGTTGGATATTTCTTGTTTTAAGGTTGTTGCATTAAAAAAAACAATACTACTCTGCACATGTTCTGCATCTACACAGTCTCCTGTGTGGGCTGCTGACAGCACTGTGGTTTTCAAAGCCTGTCTGGCTAATCGGATCGACAGGCTGAGTGCTGGGGAGTGTTTTAGTGCTGTGCCCAACCCATTAGTCTGGGTTCAGCACAAGTGTTGCAGTTGAACCTCACTGCTAGAAAATCCACTTAAGACAGGCAGAAAATTGGTTGTTTGCATTTTGGAAGAAGATGATCAGGAATAAAAGCTTTTCTTCATTGTGGGTTGGAACATTTCTCAAATTACTATTGAAATGACATGAATGTCCTCATTTCAGTCCACAGGGGGCATCAGTCAGGCTTTCAAAATGAACACACAATCCAGTCACATAGATTGGCAGAGTTCTGTATTTTAATAAAATATAAACATGTACTATTATTTATAAAATACATTTCTGCAGTTGATTATGTGTTTGTGGGGCACAGGCTGGTGTTGCAACGACAGGAAACAGCTACAGTAGGAGCAGTTTTGTTTGTTCTCTGTTTTGTTTTTTTTTTGCAAACTGTTGAAATGTTTTCAGCTTTGGGTTTTTCTCAATTTCAAAAACACAAATCAATAAAAGAAAGGAGTGAAAAAATGAAATGGCTTTGATTCTGGAACTCAGTTCTAGATGCTTGTAGGGACTGAGGGAAAATTTATTCTCAGGTGACTCCTCTGGAGTAATCCAAACCAACAGCAATTTCTAGCAAGACCGACAAAGATAACCGAGTGCCCATAAAATACAATTGCAGGGACAGGGTGTACATACTGCACAGTGGAAGCATCTCCACGAATAATCTAAAAGCTAGAAAAATAAAGCAAGAGGGTACAGACAATTTAGTATCTACAGTATATGAAACTGAAAATGAACTAGATGTACAGTACAGTATGCCATAGACCAACTAACGCTGACGTGGACTCATGCAGTCTCTGCATGATAAGATCAAGAAGGTATGTAGCAAATATAGTGTTATATTACTGGGTGATTTCCACTTTCCACATATAAATTGGGATACTTTAGGAATACAATTGCTGAACGTAATAGGATTGAAACAGTTAATGAATGCCCTCTTAGCCAAGTTTGTAAAGGCACCTATTAGGACACTTTGACTACATCTACTAGTAATGCCATTTCAAAAACCAGTACCACATGTAATGAAATCTCTGGAAAATTGGGACCACAGTATTGCACCTGATGATGTATATTTTGAATCTTTAAAGCCTCAGTCTAAAATTAGGGTTTATAGTTTATAAAAGAAAAGTAGACTTGAAGGAATGAGGCCAATCTTACAAGTGCTGAACTGGGATGAACATAATTTTCAAGGCTCAAAAACAAATAAGGGCAACTGTAAATAAAGAAAATGACCTAAATCTGTTATCCAAGTCATTAGTAAGAAAAAAAGGCAAAACAATGGCATTTTAAGACAATAAAATTCGATCACATGAGGAGAATCTTGCTTAAATAACGTACTTGATTTCTGGACAGCTGACAACACAAAGGTACAGTATATGGAATTACATACAGTACTTTGATTTCCATAAAGCGTCATAAAATGTTAATTCTGAAATTAAAAATTATCCTAGGTAATAACAATGAATAGAGAATCAGTTATGGATCAGCACTCCAATATGATTCTGTGCCCGTGAAACATGGCTGCCGCTCTACAGAGAAACTGGGATGATACAGTACTTAGTGTATGGATGGGACAGGAGCTATGGATATTATTTCTAGCAGTACTCTGTGTACTTTCTTCATTGGTTTGTTGTAATAGATTCTTATTAATAGAATGTATTCTAAATTGGCACAGCAAAACTGATACAATTAAAATTGCAAATGAACTTCATTTATACTAGATTTAATATAATGCAAAAAACTATCCTACACAAATCCCTCCTCACCCAGTCCCAGGAGTACTCCCCTCCAAGTTCCTACTGTATCTAAGGACCCCTCATATGCAGTCAAATAGCTACAACAGAACCCCTGATGTAACAAGGCTTTAATTGCAACAGTAGCAGCACTACAAGCTTCCGCTGTCCCCCCACTGGCACTATGGATCCTAGCAGTCAAACATTTTATATTAATTATACCAAAATAGGCCAGCGTCAATTGGAATAGACATAGAGGCATCACGGTAGAGCTATAATATACTGTATATATACAGTAGTCAGACAAGTAAGTTAATAAGTTTCTCTATCATTTCTCTAACATTGATAGTTACTATTTGTCAAATCCAAAACAAGCCTTTACAGTACAACATATTTACAACTTTCTATTTTGCAGACGAAATTAACTGTAACATCTCATCCAGGCTGTGAAATCTGTTTTTCTTGATTAACTGAAAGCCAGTGAATTAATTTGTTTAGTACATCTTTCATGTTTTGTACAATTATTTGTTTCATTGAAAAACACAAGCTAAAATAATTGATCCCTCACACCCATCATTTGCTTATGGGGTAGAGGAGGATAGGACAGCAGTGTCATAGGAAAACAAAGTGCAAAGCCAGACAAATACCCCACTCTCCCACAAACACAAAAACAGGAGTTAGGTACTGTATATCCAACACATATTCATGTTTTCTATCTACATGATGAGATGTAATTATTAAATCCAACATAAACCACAAAATCAGACATTTTCATATGGTACGAAATTCCGAATTCATTACTCCCCAGTCTGGTATCTAAAGACTCCATGGTGTGACACACGGAAAATGACCCAATGTCAATCCATAAAGTGGCATCTGACAGAAATGCAGAAGTGACACTCTAGCACCAGGGTGGTTTTTCTAGTCTAGAAAAAAAAAAAACTGTATTCCAGCAGTTAATTCACATTTAATTCACAAAGCACAGAAGGAAAAATATATACAATAAGAGCAGCTTCAGAACTGATGCACGAAAATATTGGTAAACCCTCCAAGCAACGTTATTGAATATACCACACCAAAATCAATACATCAGTAGTTTTAACACTTTCTAGTCAGATCTTGGTAAGGTTATCCAATCAAAGAGCTTTACAGATAATTGGGTCTCCCACCAACACCAATATGCAGCTCCCATCTGGATGATGCGACAAGAGCCACCAGTGCACTCACTGCACATCATCTTTAAGTGGGGAGGAGAACAGAGCGATGAATTCAGTTCATGGACGGGATTATTTGATTGGTAAGAGGGTGACACCCCTACTTTTTTAAACAAATGCCCTAGGATTGTTAATGACCACAGAGAGTCAGGACCTCAGTTTTACATCTATTCTGAAGGATGGCGCCTTTTTACAGTATAGTGTCCCCATAGTGTAGTATAGTGGGGCATTAGGTCCCACACACAGTAGACCGCAGAGTGAGCCCCATACTGGTCCCACTAACACCACTTTCAGCACCAACCTTAGCTTTCCCTGGAGATCTCCCATCCAGGTACTTGCCAGGCTTGCTGTTTAAACATAACTTGTCTCTTTACTGTTAATGCCTTTGTGAGCTTACCCTGTAGCTTGCATCCACTCACAAATACATTTTCTTTGAATAAAATCAGCTAACAAATAACGGGTTTAAAACTCTATTTATTGAGCTACAAGAGAAGCTACTGTCACACTGTTTAACACTAAGAACGGAACAGGAAATACTAATTTAAATTAAAGAAAATAACTGAATGTTAAGAATAACCTGAAACATAATCCATCGATATTTTGCCATTTTTTTAATAAGGTTTTACCTCAATGAGCTATATACATACCATTTGATGAAACTTGCCAATATAGCAAATGTGTCACTGTTAAAGAAGATTTACGTCTTATCTGCATGGAGGAGGCATTTCTGCCTCCAAGAGGATTGCTGAGTGAGACAGAGACCCTGCTGACACTACCAACAGGGATTGCCAAGAGTTGATGTCTTCTCTTTGACATGACATATTTTGCAATATTATTATCTCCTTATCTGTATTGAACAAGAATATTGTTAGCCCCTTATAAAATGCATCCTGTAAAATTACAGTACTCACAAGAAATGAGTTATGAAAGTACTAGATCTTTAAAATCTTTAAAACCATCCTGCTATGAACAGCTACTTAAAATTAACAACTTCATGTGTCAATGCGTTACTTGTAGTTCTTACTTTTGTTTCAATCTTTTTAGTTCTTTCTATTATTCTGGAAAAAACCAAGAACTACAGTACAGCAGACAACTAGCACAATCAACATCTTGACAGGATAGCTATAAAGAGTACTATAAATGAGTTTCAGAGAGTATGGAGGACCAAACCTGCCAAAATTAAAAATAAATATATAAATGTCCAAATTAATAAAGAAACAAATTGTACACCTGGGCTCCCGTCAGTGCATATTTCAATATATGTAATTGAATTGCTATGTTGAGATGACAGTGAACAATTTGCAGAAGAATGGAGCACAACGACCTAAGGTAGAAAGTGCTCAACTGTTATTGTGGGTAGATAGTACGGATTTTACAAAGATATTTGCTATCAGGTGTCTCTACACTTTCTCATTGTGTTCTACTGTACAGTTAAATGAATACCATCTGATCATGTAGAGTGAGAACAGAAAAGGGTTCATTATATCCCAAAATTAAGTTTCACGGCATGAAGTTGTAGTTGGCTGAGGTGTTTATCTACATTTTTAATGCCTAATTATTATCCCTAACAGAGTTTCTGACTTATATTGATCATTGGAAAATAATAGCAAATAATCTGAACACTGGATACAAAACATTATTTGGATTTCTAAAATTACAAGACTTTTAGTTTCAAAATATGACTATTATTGTGCATTTTTTAGTAAGGATTATTTTATCAACCTTCCAAAATTGCTCTTTGTGTTTAGGTTTATTATTAATTCATAGCTTATTTTCATTATAGGAACAGGCAAAGATTTATTTCATGCTGAAAGGAAAGAAAAGAGACACAACATTTTGCTTGTAGAGCCTTCTTCGGATGTTTGTTTTTCTGTACTTTTATATGAACAGACAAACTACAGTTTTCAGATTATGATTAAGAACATCAGATGCAGGAATGCATTTGTCCGTTTGATCCAGAGAGAATTTGATGTGCACACAATTATTGCAGGCAGTTAGATGCCAACAACTAACTGTTAGTGAAGCAGTGATGGGAAACTCAAATTGATAAGGTATGGTACAATAATGCTTTTCTAGCAATTGTCTTGAATTTGGATTCTCAGCATTATTCAATAATAACATTAGTTTTTTCTTGTCTCCTGGTTATCTGTCCAGTCCATTTTCAGTAACCCCTTTGCTCAATCAGGGTCATACTGATCTGGAACCCATTACAGAAGGCATAGGGTGCTAACAGTATACAGGCTGCACTTGATACCTTTAAATTTAAATCTTAATCTTTAAAGGACAATTTAAAAATACCACTTAACCTAAACAACATGACTTTGGTGAAGGAAACTAGAGTACCTAATAAAAACCCATGCAGACGTGAGGACACATGCAATCTCCACATAAACAGAGCCAGTGTGTGAATCACAACCACAGCCCTGGAGTTGTAAGTGTGCTACCATACCACATGTCTTCTGACTAACTTAGTAAAAACACTCTTAGTATAAATGATGTACTGTAAATACTTAATGGGAACCTGCAACGCTATTTTTATATTTCGGAGTTAGAAGCAATCAAGCTCTCAAAATTGATTGCTTTTGCCTGGTGGGGCTTCACTCTGCTCAGTCAGGTTTACCATCAATATTTGCCCAACAAATCAGGTTTGTCAGAAGCCCTTGAACTGCAACTTAACCACATGCATTAGGACAGAAGTCGCCGTTAACCAGAAATCCAAGGGCGGTGTTCAAGGCTTTCCAGCAGCTCACCATCTTTGAGTTCCAGGAGCACCTCAGGGTCACTGGGATCACTGCTGAAGTAGCCATAGCCCTCCTTATCCCAAAACAGTGCATCCTGGCATTCCTGCAGCACTTCTGCCCACTCCAGCCAGCTAGGGTTCAGACAGGCCTCATACAGATCCAACAGCCCAGCAATCACAAAGACATAGTCATCCAGGAAACCCAAAATTGGGGAGGCTCTGAAAAGAAAACATAGAAACATTCTTTATTGAACTACTTGAGCACAGGCACCACTACAGGTACATAACAAATACCAGAAAGAAACCACCCGCTACATGGCACTCAGCAATCAGGCTAAATGCTTGCTGCTTTTAACAGGTAATCAAACAACATTCATAATACAGAATTCAGGACTCCATTAAATAGGAAAACACTTGTGTTACCGAGTCAAAGGAGAAAAGAAAAAATAACTGTTTTACAAATGACAGCAACTCTTTGGACCCCATATTATAGAAAACAAGATTGCATGTATTCTTAGTGGTTAAACTTATAAAGATATTAAAAGAACTACTACAGTTTATTTTACATATGAATGAAATTCTCTGAAAATGATCAAAAATAACATTATGTTTCTGAAAGCTAGACATCAGTACTCACACTCCTGAGTTACAGTCAGTGTTATAGCTCTAAAAGCTACACTTTTTGTCTATGGTTTGAAAGCCATATTTTGCATATTTATAGGTATAGGAAAGGGTGGTTTAAGCAAAGGTATTGTAAATGAAATGCTTTTTTTTCTTTTTAATAAAAGGACAACCTAGTCAGATAGATGCAACATTAAATGAAGTCTATTGATTAACGAGTTTCCTTTACAACCACCCAAACAGTAACTGGGGAATGGCCCCTAACAGTGTGAATGCATTCTGAGAGTAAACCCTTAGAGAAAACCCTTAGCATGTCTGTTATGTTTTCATTGATAGAGCATGTACCGTATGACTGAAATCTGGACTAAGACTTGAAGGAGGGACAGACTTTGCTGAAGCATCCTGTAACAGTACTAAAGTGAGTCATTAGCAGGTTTAGCATAATTTAATATTAAAATAAATAATTTTAGCATATAATGCATATGTTAGTTTGGAAATATTTATATCATACAATTTCAGAATTGCACATATTTAGGTTTGCAATGCAAACAATTACTGTAAATCAACCACAGTGCTGCTACAAAACAATGAGTTTAACAAGAAAAGCAAATACTGAATCACTCCCTGCATGTTATATTATATGTTCTGCTCTAATATGTCTTCCCTGATTATTTTTCTTAATACACTCACCATATTATTTTAACTGTTCCACCATGCATTGTCAGAAAGCTGCTTCTTCCTGGTAAGGGTAACAGCACCACACTTATTAACTTAAGTCAACATGCTACATCTTCGTAATGTGAGATGAAACCAGAAACTGTAAGAAAGTCCAAGTGAACACTGATGATCATGTAAACTCCACACAGAAGGCACAGCAGCCTGGAATCAAACTCTGGACCCAAGAGGTTTAATGCGGCATTGTTAACCACTACACCATCTTGCCACCCATTTTGACTATTAGCTATCTTTCCATAGTTTAAATGTAAAATTAATTATAACCAACATGTTGTGATAAAAAGATAATCCTTACATTAATCAAGCTGATACATAAGAAAACAGGAATCCTCTAAGATCTGATTCACCTTCTTGTGATCAGGAAGTTTCAGTCGTGATGGAAATGAAATGGAATCCTACACTTTTGCCATTATCTACTGTTTATTCCTTTGGGGCCTTCGCCTGCATAGTGACACTTTCACATCAGAAGAGTCTCCCAGAGAGACAAGCACTTTCTGTATTACAGTAAGGAAACAGTAAGTTAATGCCAAAAATGAAAACAGATCTTGCAAATTGTGTAAAATACTGTACGATTTTGGAAACTGAGTGCTCAAAATGATTAATGAAATTGGAAATTATAGCTTCTTTAAAAACTGTCAGTTAGAATTATCAGTGTTAATGAAAGGAGTAGGTGAGAAAAGAGATGATAAAAGGCTGCTAACACTGGAAGTGAACGGGCAAGTGGAGTGATACAGTAGTCATTCCCAACATCACAATCTAAAGCTCAGACACAGCTACAGGAAAGCAGAGCTGTTCTGCAAGTCTCTCCAACAGTGTCATCATTCCTAGCGTGCTGCTGAAGGGTGTTGTCACTTTCTCTCTTTATACCGTTAGATTGCAGCAGTCACTTCCTTCACAAGAAAAGTATGCAGTTCTGGCCCAGTTTAGAAACAGTCTCAAGAATGGATTTATATTCTTGTCAAAGCAAAGAACATATTACATTACAGAATTCTACACTATGAGTGGCAGTGCCAAACCTTTCATTAAGACAGTCTTGCCACACAAACCATTGCAGATATCAAATCTATCACATCTAAAGTATGTTAGTCAGTGAGAAGTGACGAGACTCAATGTGCATGGTTTCCTAGTACTATTCAACAGAACAAGTGCAGCTATAATGCTTTGTGATGTCCTTGAAACCTATTTCTGTCCGTGCAAACAATCCAGTAGCATATATAAATAAATGCAGTGCTTACTACAATATCCCACTTCCCCAGGCTTAGCGTATTTTTCCCTTTTCACATGTTCAAACACTGGATTCATCTACAAACTCATTGCTGAAAATCATGTCCATTAATGTTCACAGAATTCTCACCTTCCATTTCGAGGAATTAAACCATTAAGCTCGCTGTCCGCGTACAGTGCTACTTTAACTGGGAAAACTGCATCTTCTCAAGATAAAAAGTAAAACAATTCCATTACACTTTTTCTCAGTCACTAAAGTTAGAATTCTAAGCAGTTATTTATATTACTACTAACAGATAATGAAGTATTAACATGGAAACATTGTATGAAAAAAACAAGAACAAACGCAGCAATCTACTGTATTTTTTTTTTAAACGACACCTTCGAAACAGTTTTCTGGATAAATAAATTAATGTGAAAAAAGGATGAAATGCAACACATCACTATCCTTTAACCCTACGCTAAAAGGTTAATAAGTCACACTTGGTCATTTGAAAAGGCCATTTGTGCCAGCAATGCCCCAGGTCATAGTACAGAGTACACACTGGCCTTAACACCCATTTAGACACAATAATGACACAGTATTGTTCCAGCATGACAACCACAGTTCCCTTGCTATCCAGCCTGCCATCTGCCAGTGTGAGCAGGCATTAGTAAAGAGTTACTGTATGCATAGCTCTCTCAGCATAATCAGTTTACATTTGGATCTCCAAGACTATTGTACTTAACATTGGCTTAAGAGTCATTGCTCCTCTAAGAAACTGGGCCAAAAGAAATACCTTACAGGCAATTTTAATGAGTGTCAACAATTTCAAAGCCTAAGTTTATTTCTGCAAACAGCTCACATCACTTTAATCTTTCCATGTTGTGCCACTTCCTTCACGGATCTGTTTCACACAATCCCATCCAAACCAATTACATTGCACAACAAGTCAAATGAGTCACGAAACTGTGAAAATTGATTATATGCAACACAACTAGATCACTCCTGTGGAACTGCATGAAGCATATTACTGTACATTCAATATGAATACAGTAATAGCAGTAATGTGTTCTCATATAGTAAGTAACCCTCACTGCATGTTAGGAACACTTCCACTATTCAATAATGGCAGCAGCTGCAACTTAACACATGGAAAATGGCACAAGAAGCAGTTCTCATGTGTTTCCAAATTCATTCACTTCCATATAATCATTAATCCTAATGACTGCTAATGTATGCAAATAACATTATGACATACCTCCAAAGGAGATGTATTGTATAGCAAAAAACTTTCCTTGAAATGCTGTGTTCAAAACATTACACAAATGACTCCAAAGGAGACCAAAACATTGAAAGTAGCAGTTTTATGGCACTTCAAATATAACTGCTGTGACCCTGCTTTAATTCTCTAGTATTTCTTTTTCGTGTTACCTGCTACTGAAATGGTGAATAAAATCAACATTTTTTGTGCCGTCTGATCAGGATTAAAAATAACATGCAAGTCTAGCAAAATGCTTCACAAAATGTCTAACCCCTAACCCTAGGTGGGGTACTTCCAGAACATATACCAAGAACAATGCTTTACAACACTTTGGTCAAAAGTATACCTAAAAGAGCCTACTACTCCAGAACACTTAAAGTGGCAGTTTCATGGCATTTCAATGTATCGGATGTGAATCTGCTTTAATATTCCAGTATGTTTTTCATGCTACTCTCTGCTGGAATGACGAATAAAATCAAGATCTACAGGTCAGGATTATTAAAAAAACCCACGTTTACCCAACCTTATCATTTTCCTTGCATTTAAAATACAAAACTTAAGTCAGCTTTGTCATGATCGCAAACCCCTCCTCTTAAGGGCGCTCCAGCCCTTCCTCGTTCTGCCTCATTCCCCGCACTTGTTCCTTATTCCAGCCCCTTTTCAGTTCACCCTTAAAAGCCAGACGCAGACGATAATCGGGGCTCTACATTGACTCCCGGTTCATGTGAGCCCGGGTCCTGATACGTCTGGCTCCATTATGTTTTTAACTTTCTGTTCCTGTTCCCCCCACTGGTCCCAACCCGGTTCCCATTTTTAATCTCCTGGATGTATCGCCTGGACATGGACTTATGCATGTGTGTTGCATTCCCCGTTTGGACTTCTTCAACAATCCTTGATTGTTTGCTCCAGACTCACTCCCCCTGGACACCAGAGCACCAAGGACATTCCCCCTGTTCTCCATTCCCGTCTCCTGCATGACTTTTCCCCCCGTGTTTTCACACTACCCCAGATTGTATCGTCAGCATAGGGTCTGGAAAGAACTGTTTAGTGACAAGCTTAGCATGTAGAGAGTGTGTTTTCAAACTTTTGATTTTTGACCAGTTTGATTGACAGGCGCAAAAACTGCAAAACTGGACCAATTTAATTTATAGAGGAAGCAGCAAAACAACACATTCCTGCATTTCCAAAGCATCCACGACCTCAGCAAATGTAAAAGTTTTACAGTATTCTAAATGTAACTGTTGTGAATCTGCTTTCATTTTCCAGTATTTCATTTTTTTTTGAGTTACCTGCTCCTGGAATAGCAAATTAATTCAACATGTTTTGTGCTGTCTACAGGTCAAAATTACAAATAACACTCAAGTGTAGCTAAACTTATGTTTTCTCTCAGGTTAA